TTCTCACGAGGGTGTTTCTGTCGCCGCGGCTCTTGTGGCACGGAGGGGAACGGCTGGTGCTTTTCAGCAGATTGTTGGAATAGCTCGCAGTTTGAAATACACGTAGGAAGCGTTATTGTTTCACTTGTGACCCGTTATTGTTACCACAACCCACCACTCTCTGTCTGGCCAGCTTCGAATGACGTTTCCTCCATCCATCAACAGCTGCTCTGCAGCCTGTGTCCCACCACCGTGTGCACCAGCATTACCTCATTTAGTTGCTCAGTGTTTTTTTTCCGAGCTGATATACTTTTTTTTTTTTTTTTGAGCATTTCTCAATCATTTCCAGCAGGGAAATGGAAAAAAACCCCAACCTTTCCTATTGTCTTTTCCTGCACCTGGTGGTCTCAAGAGCAGCAGGCTGGGAGAGGAGGAACCGACAAACAAATCCTCCCTTTCTCGCTCTGTAGATGAGGTGGCTGATGAATTGTCTCTGGCGATTACAAGAGGCAAAGATCAGCAAGTGGCTCTGCCCTCTGTAGCAGGAAAACCCCATTTCCTACAGTCCAGACTCTTGTCTGGTGCCTGCTCCGGCTGCACCGTGGTCCCCGGAGCCAGGTGCCTCTCTGGCCACAGTGGCTTTGGCCACTGCATCAGTGGGGCACATTAAGTTCAAAGCACACCGCAAAGCAGATGCCCGGGAATAGCTGGGAATTGTGTCCCCCAGGGCAGGATCTCACCCCAGGGGAGCCGCCTGCCCGTCCTGCTTGGGCTCCCCTTGCTCTGCAGATGGCCCGGGCCTCTCTCGAGCACACGCTGCTGCCTTCTCTCCCCATCACAGTGGGGAGGAAACCAGACAGACCAAACCTGGGATCTCGCCGCTTGTGCAGAGGTTTCTGTCGCCCGCTGTCTTCCCGTCTCTGCTCTCCACGGAGGAGAGCCAATTTCATCCTCTCATGAGAAACAGGCAGAGGATTTTAGTGGGCTGTAATTAAACCCAGAAGTGTTTCTGTAGGAGCTTTTTGATGAGATTGCGCAGCGCGGGAACAGAGGGTGCTGAGCGGAAGGGGCGGGGGCAGATGCTCCGTGGAGCGCAGATGGGGCTCGGGGGCTGCTCTCCTTTAAAGTCCCATCTGAGTGAGATCTGATGAGAAATCAAAGCTCCAGCTCTTGTGGGGTCAGCATGATTTTGAGACATAAAAAGCGGTGCTTACTTAGTGCCAGAGCCTGACTTTGCATCAGCTCCCAGCAGAGGCAGCTGCAGTGGGTCTGGTATTTCCGTGCCTTTCCCCCTTGGTCAGGTGGGGACCCTCCTGGGGTGGCCGCGCCGTCACCGGCTCTGTGTGAGGCCCTCCTCCGCATTTCCCCCGTGGTATCAGACTTGCAGCGAGACGTGGTGGCCCAAGCAGCGGCGTGTGGCTGGTGTGTGCTGGCACCCACGGTTTTGCTCAGAAAGGGGATTCGGTCACTGTGGTGCTGAACGTGCTCCTCCACAGCCCCGGCACTTCTCCCAGCACCAAGGACGAACCAGCTACTTGCTCTTTCTGGCTCCCACGGAACAATGACAGACGCCAGCTGTTCTTGTTTTTCAAGCTCTTTTTTTGCTCTGTCCTTCCCTAAATCCCCTTCCAGCCTCCATGTATTTCTCTGGAGATGAAAGCACGGGGCCTCCTTTTCTCCCAGACGCCTGGATTCTGCCTGGGGTACGTTTGTGCTGCTGGAGAAGGGGTTTGTGACGGTAGAAATGCAGCGGCGTCTGCTGCCTGTGCCGCACTGAGCTGCTCTAAGGGGCTGCTGCTTTTCTGGGGGAGATCTCCAGTTCACAGGCCACGAGACGATGGCTTGGTGTTGGTTTCTGCCCACTTTGCAAACTCCAGAGGCGACGGAGTCAGCCCAGGCTCTCTCCGCTCTCACAGCACATCTTCTTCACCTCTTTTTTCCCTTCTTCCATCCTAAACGCTGTCTTTTCTCTTCCCCCCTGCAAAGGGTGCTCCTGCAGTCTGGGGCTGATCTATACCAGTAAACCCTGCACGATGCCTCCCATCACGTTCCAGGACCTGCCACTGAACATCTACATGGTCATTTTCGGCACCGGCATCTTTGTCTTCGTGCTCAGCCTCATCTTCTGCTGCTACTTCATCAGGTGAGCTGGGGGGGCTGTGGCAGTGGGTTGGCATCCCTGGGGCATCCCCAGCCCTTCCCAGTGCCCCGTTGTTTTGTCCCATAACACGGGAGCCGCTCGCCACGAGGATCTCCCCCAAGGAGCAAGGCCGGCCGCCCGCCGTGCTCGAGCCAGGCGTGATCGTGGTCCCCTGCGGCCGGAGGAGGCAGGAAACGCAGGAAGGGGCTCTTGTTTTTCAGGGGACCGCGCGGAGGGACGCATTGTGTCGGGCAGGGAAGGAGCAGTGCTGCACGGGAGAGGATGTGTCTTTACATTACACTCCCTGTTCAGGGAGGGCTATTTTTAAACCCAAAGCCGAGGCAGCGGTTGGCGTTGCTGCAGGGCCCGGGTGGTTCAGTCCTTTCCTGCAGGATGCCCCGTCTCCGCCGATGTCCTGTGCACATCTCAGCCATTTTTGGGACTGCGGAAGCAGGTCTCGGTGCCTCGGCTGGAGGACCAGCGAAGGCTGCGAGCGGTCTCCTTCTCCCCGTGTCTTGCTGGGTTTCTCTGCCAGGCGGTTTTCCCCAGAGTCCTCGCCCCAGCCAAGGTCACAGCAGGGCTGGGAGCTGCTGGTGGGCAAGCGCTGGAAATACAGTGTTTCCTGCGCCATGAACGACTTCCTAAGGCAAACAATCGGGGCTGCCGGCTCTTATCGCTCCCTGCTGCCGATTCCTGCCGGCGCTGGATGCGGCACGGGGCCCCGCTGTACTGCTTTGCCCGGGGCACAGCCTTGGGTTGGTCCTGCGCCATGAACGACTTCCTAAGGCAAACACTGCCGGCTGCCGGCTCTTATCGCTCCCTGCTGCCGATTCCTGCCGGCGCGGCACGGGGCTGGTGCTGCCCGTGGCCACGCTGCTCCGATGGCACAAGCGCAGCCTCGAAGCAGCTTATCCCCAAATCCTGGTTGGGAAGGGTGCTTTCCCCTGATTTCAGATGCCTCCCAAATATTTTTGGCTGCACTGTTCAGACGTGACCCTTGAGGATGCTGTAAAACTGACGGTGCCTTTTTCTCCCCCTCTCCAGCAAACTGCGGCACCAGGCTCAGAGCGAGAGGTTCGGGTACAAGGAGGTAAAGTCGATAGTTGTTTCCTGCACGTACCTGCAGTGATTTGGGGCCGAGCGGGAGGTGGGCGCAGGCGGGTGGGGACGCAGCGGGGACCGATGCTACTCGTCCCAGCTGGGCGCATTCAAAAGTGGTGCGACGAGACACACTGCCCACTGCCCCCCGGGCTCGACCTGCCCCTGCCCGGCTCCATTCAGCTCCCACTGGGGCTCCTGGCAAAATCCCTCCCGATGTTAAATCCTCCGCCTCCTTTTCTCCCTCAGGTGGTTTTAAAAGGCGATGCCCGGAGGCTGAACGTGCACGGGGTGAGTGGTACCACCTCTGGGTTTTGATGGAGTTGGGGCTAATGGAGACGATGCTCTGGGGCACATCCCCTCTGCTCCGTGGGGTCGAAGGCGGCTCACAGGCAGAGTGGGGCCGGGATGGGGACGTGCTGACACCGCATGGCTGGGAATCGGGAGAAAAACCCCCTCCCCGGGGGCGGTTTGGGAACTGGGCTGAACTCCCAGCTGGAAATACCTGGGAAGAGGTGCCGCAGCAGTGGGATTTCCCCACCCGTGGCATTTCTGGTGGGAGCGGGACCACGCGTGGGCGTCGCGCTGGGTCCCACGTGTTCGCACCCACCCTCACCCTCCGTCTTGCCTCCCGCAGCAGACCTGTGCCGTCTGCCTGGAAGATTTTAAGGTGAAGGAGGAGCTGGGGGTGCTGCCGTGCCAGCACGCCTTCCACAGAAAGTGAGTACGGCCACGGTGCCTGGCGGAGAGGTGCGGGGAGGGGGGATTTCCCCAGCGGGGATTTACATCCTCCCGTGTTTCTGCCCCGCAGGTGCCTGGTGAAGTGGCTGGAGGTGCGCTGCGTTTGCCCCATGTGCAACAAGCCCATGGCGGGTCCAGCACAGCCCCGCGCCGGCATCGGCACCCTCCTGGACGAGCTGGTATGAGCAGCCCCGCTCCTCGCCGGCCAGATCCTGCCGGGGCTGTCGCGGGACCGCGGCTCCCTGGGGCTGCCCACACTCGGCATCACCCGGCCCCGCACGTCCCGAGGGATCAAACAGTTCGTCTCGAAGGATTCGAGATTTCCGAGTTGGGATTTTTAACTCGCAGGTTGTTGCTTTGTTTTGGGGGGGGTTGTTTGTTTCTTTACGTCGCCCCGGTTGTGCTCCGCGGGGACCGCGTGGAGCCGGGACCACCCGGGGTTGCCCGTGGAAAGCTGAGCCCCCACGGCGCAGGCGGGGGCTGCGTCCCCCCGCTCCCTCCTCCCCCTTTGCTGCACAGAGTATTTTTGTACCTGATCCCCTCCGGACTCTCAGGCTCCCTGCACGCCCGCGGCGGGGCTGTACAGTTTTGTGTAAAAGGATGA